ATTTGAGCCTTAAGTAATTTTATCGGAGAATAAGACAGTAGTACTTCAAGAAAAAGCTGTGAAGCAGATATTTCTATCACCAAAACATGTGGCAAGTTGTAAGCTTGATGGTTTTCTAAATATTGAGTGCCAGCTACATGTAACTATAGCTGTTATAGATTCATGTTTAAAGATCGAACTAAACAAAAATCATAAAAATCCAGGTATTATTTAACTTTATCAGTTACTACTTAATTATTACTTCTTATCAATGAAATAGAAAAATAATAATTTTTTTAAAAAACGTTAAGGACTTAAAAACAGACTTCCATATGGAAATATTTGGAACTATTTACACGAGAGAACGTAGGAGCTCTATTTTATTTCATATAGTGATTAGGTATAAAATGCTTTCTTGGCTTGAACAACTATTTACCTTTCCAATTCTTTACCTTTTCATTATGTTATGAGGTGGGAGGTTGGGGGTGAGTCAGTTGCTTTCTTTCCTACACTAAATTAGAAGTGAATCCCATTTTGGTTAAGGTAGAAAAAACATTTCATAGAAAAATTCTCCAGGTAGCTATAGTGGAAAACCAATATCAATGTATTTACATACCATAGTGAGGCTAACAGTTCAGAAGTACTGATAACATATCTAAGCAAAAGTCAAAGCAGTTCTTCCCAGGTGATCTCCCTGAGACCTTTGATAGCATCTCTCTCAATGCTTTCGATTGCCCAGGAAGCAAGATGCAGCCCAGAATGGTCAACACTATCCTACATATTTTATTTGGTAATAAGACAGAGAGTTGACCTGAACATCTGTCTGTGTTCTACTTTGTTCTGATTTTTTAGTACCATCAATATAATTCTATGTTGGCATCATCAACCCTTCAACTTTATGTTGCATTGCCATATAAAGCTGCCATGACAGCATGTGCTCTGTCCTAAATTTCATTGGCTCTCTATATAAAAGTCTTTAAAACTATCAGGAGGAGAATACCACACCTTGGGATGTGTTCTAACTAGCTTAGGGATGGCAGAGCTCTTTTTCCTCAGGATACAGCCCTGTACACAGCTGCAGATTTTTTTCAGCTGAGGTCTTTGTGGGGTCAGAGTATTTTCTTTCCTTCTTATTTTCTGGAGCTTTAAACTGAACCCTGGGGATAGGGCATGATGCAATCATAGGGATAGATTCCTGTGACAGGGACAGAAGGTGCAAGTGACTTTTCTTTCAGGTCTTTTCCTACATAACTGATACTCTTATTTATTTATGTCCAATCTTAATTTAAAAAGATAAAGTATGGCTGAAATAATGCACACACTGCAATAACATGAAGTGGATAAAGAAACCAGGATAAAAGTGAGTAAAACAAGGAAGGTAAAATGAAACCAAGGGTAAATTCAGTAAGTTGAAATGTGTGCTCAGCAATGTAAGTTAGAAAATTGCAGTTTTAGCTTTAAAATTTCTAGCTTCTAAAGAAAAGATAAAACAAATTATTTATAGGATTTGAAATGTCCATGCTATTAATGCTAACTAATTCCTCATGAGGACAAGAAAAAAAAACATGATTTTTTATATTCCAACTATAGATGCGTTGTTCTCATAGGGAGTACCATGATGAGGTTAACATCCTCAATAAAATCCCTCCAGTGAATACAGTAACAATTATTGTAGGCACTTTTCTTATTATCTACATTTTATCTATATTTAATGTGAGGCTGTGGGTGACAGAAACATGGAACTCAGTAAAAAGCAATTGTCTGAAGGTCAGTAAAGAGTGATCTCTGAGGACAGACGGCTATGATTGTCTGATTTTGTTCCTAGTATAAAAAATTAGAATATCTGGAGCAGAAGTTGGCAGATTTATCCTATTCAGGCCACAGTAAATATTTTTGTCTTGTGAGCCATATAGTCTCTATCACACCATTCAACTCTGCTGTGGTAGCATAAAGTGGCCATAGGTAATATATTAACAAATGGGCATAGCTATGTATCAATAAAGCTTGATTTACAAAATCAGGCAGCGAGCCAGATTTGGTTTATGAAGCAATTTACCAACTCCTGATCTAGAGAAATAAGGACTTTGTTCACTTCAGGGTTTCTGTGTCTATAATTCCTCAGAACAAAATTTTCACAAGCGTTAGAAAGCAAGGATTAGAAATTCAAATATATTTTTCAAGTTGAGGACCTGAGACAAAAATTCTATTACCATGTAAGGTAATATATGGTACCATTCCACAAACAGAAGTCTGGGTGACATTTTCATTTAAAAAGTAAATCATTTAATGAGAGCTGCCTCATCTCTGAATAAGAGAGATTGAAGGAGTACAAGCAATCAATTTCAACATTCTCCCCTCCCCCCACCCCCGAGTTCCACATCCTACAGAAGAACAGATGTATGCTCTTATGTGGGACATGGAAAGTGTACTAATACATAATGTGCACTCAGGAATGGACAAGTATGGGCCAAGCTCTTCCACCTGCTAGTTCTGTGAATTTGAGCAGGTTACCTCACCTATGTATAAGTTGATCTCCTTATCAGGAAAGAGCATAATGATTCCTTCCTCACAGTGTTGCTATGAGGCAAAACTTTTAGCCATTAGCTAAATGGTTTATATGTATTAGAGATCATAGTTTGGACCTGAAGCCTATGCCAAAAGTCTCAAATTGTTGGCTAGAGGACTTCATCCAGCATATAGAAGTGTTTAATTGTCCCTACAAATATGGGTTATGTAAGCATCTGTGATGCAAATATGAAAAAAAATATGGTGACCGTTCGTATGGATGAAATTATAGTTTTTATGGAAAAGAAACAGAAGATCTGGTTACATAGAAATGGTCAGCAGTCCATGTTAGCAGGGCATGCGGCCTCCAGTTTGCACAGCTCCCACCAGCACGCCTTGTCTCCCTGATGCATAGCCCGGCTCTGCTGCCATTCATAATCCAGTTTGTCTTGCTGCTTTTCTTTTGCAGTGCCAGGAAGAAATGGTAATCCTTCTTCATACCATGTTGGTATCTTTTCTTTTTTTTTTTTTCTATACCTTATCCACTGCATATTTACATCACCTGCATGGTTCTCGTTAGGACCCCAGAGAATAGTGTCTTAGTATGTGAATTAAAAATTTAATAGAAATTCTGTGGTAAAAGAATTCTCTGGTTAAATATGCTTAGGGCTTCTGAAAGAAGCAAAGAAACCAGGTATCTTTCCTGTGGGCCTCTCATTATCCTTTAATATAATAATGTGTAGTTCCAGTCTCCAAGATGGCACGCTTTACAGCTTTCTCGATTTTAACCAAAAAAAAAAAAATTGTAAACAGTCATTCTTTAGTTTTAATGTTCCATGAAGTCATGGTCACTTAGCTATTGGACACATTCTTCATATAGAATATGATTTGGGAAACGCTGCCTTTACCATTCCAAAAATCTTCACAGAATTTGTAATTTTGAGACAAACATCCTATGTGTATATGTCACAAATAGTATCCACTAATACTATGCCAGATAATAGTATTTACTGATTACCTGATGATTGAACCTATTTTATAACATTGCTGAATAGTAATAGTATAAAGTGCAATATAGCTAAGGTTAATTGAATACTTATAAGAAATGGGCAAGTACTTTGCTGGATTATCTCATTTAATCCTCACAAAAGTCTGGTGAAGTGGTTTGTTTTATCCCTGTCCTACAATGGATGAAAGTGAGGCACAGAGAGGCTAAATAACTTGATGAAAGTCACACAGCTGCTAAGTAAGTCAGCCAAGATCCTTAGCCCTCACTCTTGTTGCTGGACTGTCTTGGGTAAATGCGGTGACAGTTGGAAGCTATCTGCCCCGAATGACTAAACTAGTATAATCTTGGACCATGTTTTTTTCACTCAGTCATTACGTATAAATTGCCTATTGAGAATAACTCTATTGTTTAGATATAAACCTTTGATAGAAATAAAAAAGTATATATTATCTTTCATTTTCCTTTTTCCAGGACATGCAGCTGGCTAATTCAGTAGATAAACAGAATTGCAGTAAAATTTTAAAAGAAGAGGTCATGAAATTTCACTACTTTATGGTGTCAAAATGTTATATGTTCTGATGAAATTGTTTCTAAAGACACTGATACCCGTGGGCCTATTAAGGCACACATTTCTTATATCAGTCCCTGAAGGTACTGATTAGCCCTAAACTGCTCCCTATTTTGAAGCAATAACGGCCAAGAAAGATCAATAAAAGCTACATATAATTTAATATTCCTGAATCTCTGTAAGGTGTAAAAATTTAACAGTGCTTAATAAAGAAATAGATATGCCTAGATTTCCCTTTTCTCCATTTCTTCACTATCCATATTTCCCTGGAGCCTGGGTGTAGTTTTTCCCTAAGAGGTACATCCGATTTTCTAAAGGAAAAATATGACAGAGTATTGGGAAGATGCTCACTGAGGTCCAACAGTGGTCACTAAGTTAGAAGACATTTGTTAGTCTGTTGATTGGTTGTAAACAAATACACAAGATAATTATAATAAAGTATTATCAACCATAACGTTATTAGTTCTAAGTGTATAGGTACATACACCAACATAAATACATACATATATACATGCTACATTTCATTGATACCAAAATATTAATCATAATATATATCATTTATATAATTAAGGCTTTTAACAGAAAATAAACATTGTATCAGACATACCAATTTTTGTTAGATACATTCATATTTCAGGAAATTTAGACATTTAACTATATCTTATAAGGGCATCTGGCTGAGATGGAAGTGTTGGATTATTGACCAATCAGATATAGGAGTTGATATAATGAGAGAAAATAAAGTGTTGAGGTTGATTCCAGGTGGCTAGATGATGAGCAGAGATTGGTGATCTGGGAAACAAATTGAGATTGTAGCGCCCTGTGAAGTTTAATTAAGAAGTTCTTAGTAAGTGTCAAGTTCAAACGAATTAGTTAGGGTTGCCTTTAAATGGGTCACCCTCTAATCATGCCTTATTTGTCCCTCTGGTATATTTACAGGTACTGAAGATGGATGGGCATCATTAGGTATCTGTTATTATATTGTCCCACAAATGTCTTAACCGTGAGTTTTTCGGAGTAATATTTTCCATTCATGTCTTCAGAGTGTTATTTATTTCAAGAATTCATGACCATGCCTAAATATTCATGTTTCACTCATATTATTCCATTAAATACAACCATGATCTTCTTCCAGAAAAAAAAAAAAAAAGTTTGTTAAACAACTTTTTCTTAAACAACTTGTATTTTTCTGTTTCTGATTGTGATTCATGGTAATTGAAGACAATTTGGAAAATGTAGTATAAAAATGTGACTTCAAATCATCTATAATGGTACATCTACCTATAACTACTTAATGTGAGATGTTTCTAGTCTCTCTTCTCTGTAAATTTTCTTCATATGAAGTTGAGATTTTGTAGTATAGTTTTAGTTCTTTCCCATTGAAATGGACATTGTGAATATTTCATTATTTTAAAAACAAGGTATTTCATCTGGATAGATAAGAAAGCACATATTCAGTAGTTTGAATCAATAAAATAATTGGTTAGTTCACACAACTTAGTCTTATGTTCATTCGTGTTATTAGACTGACTTTGAAGAGGAGAGTTTTATAACCTATAGCCTTAAGGAAAATATATCACTATATAGAACTCAGCAAGAGGACCTAATTATCATACCGATAACCTTCTACTGTGTTTTTTAATGTTGTAATGCCATGAGCTCTGGTTTCTCCAGCTATTTGCAAATTTGAACAAATTAAATCTTACACATTACAATTGGCAATAACACTTCAAAATTTCATAATATTTCAGAAAAAAATGTAGTGATTCCCTATAATTTCAGACCATTTTCAGAAATCTCCTGAAATTTATAATTTCCAGACTATCTCTGGGACTTACAGATCAATAAGAATATTCCAAATTGATAAAACTTTACAAGTCATATCCTCTGCCCTTGATGGAAGTTTACATAGCATCATAATTTTTTTTTCTGCTCTCCAAAGTATCTGATATCCACACTGATGTTCGAAAAAAGAAAGTAAAAGAACTACATAGACGTTTTAGAAACAAATTTAATTAAAGTGGGATAGTACTTATCATTGGACCCATGCTTTTAAACTCTATTTCGATTAGGCAACATATTTCAAAAGAAGCTTCCTTTTTTTTGAGCTCAACCATTTATAGTTATTACTAATGTAAATGTAAATTGTTGTACATTGGCTTGCCAGGATGCCTTAAAATCCACTGCTTTCAACCTTTGGATGAATATGTTAAAGTTACCTTAAAATGTGTGGTGCTGAGCAGATGGTAGTTATCTAGTGAATATATGACTGATGACCTGCTGGAAAGCTGCTATGATAGGCTCCCAAAAGGAGAACTGTAGAGTATGGGAGAGTAGAAACAGAGAGGACTCTTAGGGCAACATGGTTACGTTGGTGAGAGAAAAAGCAGCTAAAAAACTTGGGAGACTTAAAAAAGAGACAAAAATAAATTCCAGTATGTGAAGATTAATTTTTGTTTTTCTTAGAGAAAGTATTTTTTAAAAAAATACTCTTCTTGAGCTTTTCCATTTTCTGATATTATTCCCCAGACAAATTATAGAAATCAAGTAATTTTTACATGGATGTGTATTTTTTGCACTTTTATAACAAAATCTAAGACTGTCATTATCGAGATTAAGTATCAATCATCAAGCAATTGATGAGAAAAATTATCTAGGATCTATTTCTGAGATTAGATAGTGATACATTAAAGTCAATATATTTTCATTTTAGTTGTGATAACGACTTTGTGGTCTTAGTTATGCTATAAGTAAAATTTGAACTCCTGGGCTGTTCAGGGACTGGGCTCTTCAGCCTGTGTTATCTTTTCCTGGATATAGTTGGTGAATCCAAAGGACTCAAAACTGCAAAGAGATGCCATTGCATTTTAAGACAAAATTGATTCCCTAATCAATGTTAAGAGATGTTGAGAGAGAGAAATCTGAGACTTGACTTTGGTTAATTGGATTGTCTAGTTCTCAAGATGCAAGATACTGATTCATTGATATCACTGGCCACTTAGAATGAACTGTCACAGCCCTCCATGTGCATTGCTTTATTACTGCCTTTCACATTTGGAAGATGCAGCTATGATCCTGCCATACTTGCTCAGCCTGAAAATATTCACGATTTATTGATTTTTAAAAAAGGCCGGAATCTATTAATCTCATGTTTATTTATTTCTAATTACAAGAAGGATTAATTAAAATATTACATTGGAAAATGTGCTTTTTTTATAGTAGGGAAAAAAAAGATTGTGCAGCACCTCCATTTGTCTATCAATATAACGCAGCTTCATTGTCTTGTCTTCTTTTCAGTAGTTACCTCAACAAATCACTAATTTTAATGTCATTTGTAAAAATTATATAAATTATTGCATTTCCAGTTACAAAGCGGCATTAATGGGAAATCGTTAATAGAAACTTGAATTATCTAAAGTATCCAGAATTTCAAAATGACAAATCTATTATTTATTATGAATAATAGACCTGCAGTTTAATATAGCTACATTTTTTTTTATAAAATGTAATCATTCAGCTTGATTCTTTGTATAGTGGAAGAGGAGATAAATTTTAACCAAGGTAATGTGAATTTTCAAAGATTCCTTCTACTCAGTTCTTCATATAGACTCATTTCTCACCTTGTGATCTATAACAGAAGATAGAATTGAAATATTTTTTTAGTTTGATGTCTGTCTTTGTATCAATTTTTTTCTTCTTTAATTCCCTTATGCATCACTGCATGATTTAGTAAATATTGTTCTTCCGAGTTAAGACATACTGGTGATATTTACTTTGGAAGTATTATGAAGGTGGAGGTTGATGGGTCTGAGCTTTTTTATCATTGTCTATGGTTTGCTATTTTTTTCATTGTCGCTATTGCCTTTTTTTTTCCCTGGGCTTCCATCATAAATAGAGCTAATATTATAAGAGTCAACTTCTGAGCTATTCAAATAATAGATGATAGGCACTTTCTATTTATTCTATTGTGTTACGAAGACATTCTTTTTCATTCAGATTGTTCTTTGAGCCTAGGATTCTATACGTATTAAATACCACCTATAGTTAAATCATTCCATCTTTTAGCTGTAACAATGTTCTACCTACTATATTAACAATTTTAAATATTTTAAAATATCAGCAGTTGTATAAGATATAGAAAAAAGGTCCTTTGAATAAAGTGACAAGTTGTGTACAAAAGTATATTAGATTATTTCGTAAGGGTTTTACAGCAGCTTCCTATGATCGAATCCCAACTCGGCGCTCTCTCTCTCTCTTTCTCTCTCTCTCTCTCTCTCTGCACATGTGAATGTATACACACATACATGCAAACAACTGTACATCATGTATATGGATTATTTCATTTTGCTTGCACAATAGTATTTCCTACAGTGGCTCTTTCTGTGTTCCTCTTTATTCTCTCCTGTAAATCTCAAATTACTCTAATATGTGTTAATGAAGTATCAATTTTTATTCCGTCTATATTTTAAGAAGGGAAACACAGTTAAGTCAAGATGACTAATGAGATGGTGAGAAGTATGGGCTGATAAAAATTAAATAGGGAGCAAACGATTCCTCTTCAGAGCCATCCTTTTAAAAATAGCCAGTTATTATGAATAAAAAAATAGCATTATTAAACATTTCTTTTAATTAAAGTTTTTAATAGAGCTTTTCACTGTTCTTCTTCTAAGTCATATGTTACCTATAGTGTGTTTCAGCAGGCCTTAACAATTTGAGAGAATGTTTGAGTTCTAGAGTCTTTCATAGAAAGATGGGAGTCTTATGTGACATGCTTTAAAGTGTTAGACATAATTTTTAACAAACACACAAAAGACAACTATTAGTAAAACTTTGTCTTCATCCTCTTCTTGGAACATTCTTTCACTTTCCTACAACACTTTTTCTGACAACACTGCATTCATTCTCAGGAGCGTTTAAATGAGTTGGCTCTTCTCTGGCCCCGCTCATGCTGCTGAGCACCAGGTAGGTAGGGGTTGTATACTATATTACTTATCCTTCATTGCCATTGCATCTTCCAGACAATTCTCCCTCCTTCTCCATGAAAGTAAACAGCTGTATATTGCATAACATCATATTAAACCACGTATAATACTTCTTTTTCACCCCCAAGACATTAGCCCCATAGACCATGCGGAGTTTAGCTCTTCAACCCAACTCTTGTCCTAATTATTGGTGATTTCAACTAGATGATCTACCCAATTACTGAGCTTCACAGGTAAGCCTTAATGACCTCCCCTTCTCCAATAATCTTGTCCTTTTTCTAACTCAGGAACTCACTTGATGATTATATCCTTCAATCATTCTTTATTCCCAATTCCAAACTGTCTAATTGCCATAATACTATTTTTCCATCTTGCTGCCTCTAGTTCTCTATCTCTAGAATGCGTCAATCACACCAGGAATCTGATTCTACCAACTTTTCACTTCTCTTATCTTTCCCTGTCCTGACTTTGCATCAAAGATGCCACAGTTCCCTAGACCATTCCACTTTCTATTTACTCAAAAAACTTACTGTTTTTCTGAATTTTTTCAAACCTCAGAGAAAGTCAAGGCTATCACAGATTTCCACCAGATCACACCATCATATTTAAACACCTATTTGTGGTTGAAATTTAATGAATTGTCCATGATCTTATGGAAGGCCACTTCCTCCAATTGTCTATTAGAACCTACCTTTCCTACTGAAGGATTCTGCTCTAGCAGTTAATTATTGTCCAGTCCTCCATTACAATAGACAAGAGCAATATAATACAATATTATATTTTTAAATCAAGAGATCAGTTTACCTACTATGAAAGATGATATATGTGCTTATGTTAGAGGAATATGTATGTTATATTGAGGAGAATATATATTACATAAAAAAGTTCTTATTATGTGTTATAGACATTTTTTAAACATTACTGACATGAGAATTATTAAGAAATGACTTTAAGAAGCTAAGACTTGAGTTGAATATTTACAGATGAAGAAATTTGATTGTATGCAGAGAGAACTGAAGTA